GCATTGCATAATCCGAACGGCATTGTTACGAATTGGTACAGTGGTCGTCCCGGCACTGTAAACGCCGTATATGGTTTGCAACTCTCCTCCAGCTCAATTTGCCAAAAGGCGTATTTTAAGTCGACGCTGCTTATGAAATGGGTGTCATCTATTCGGCTGAGTATGCCCTCGATGTTTTGTAATGGATATGCGTATTTTACAGTCACGGCATTTAGTTTACGCGCATCCAGGCAGAAGCGATTCTTTCCGGGTTTACGGACGATTGTCGTACGATTGCTCCACGGGCTTTCACTTTCTTCGATCACACCCAATTCTACCATCTTGTCGACTTCAGCATACACGATTGCTTGCATCGCCGGAGACAATGGATAGTGGCGGTCTTTTATGGGTACTGCCTCATCGACCAACTTTATAGAGTGCTTTTCCAACTGAGTACGTCCCAATCCGTGATTTTCGTAAGTTTTAAAACCACTCACCACCAGCTCCAAGCGTTCTTTTTGGTCTGCCGAAAGGCTATGCAACACGCGCCGCTCATTCCTGTCTTCTTCGGACACCATCTCTTGTTCTAACTTGGTCAAATCAATTTCATTCACGGATATCACTTCTGGGGCCAAACGGAAAGCGCGCCAGAAGTCCACCCCAAGGTAAATCTTTTGCTCTAGGTATGGGCATAAAAAAAAATGTAATGTTCTGTTCTAAGTTTTTATATTTCACAGGTATGGTGAGCTTGCCTAGCACATTGTGCGCGCGACCGCCTGCGGTTTTTACACAAGAAAAGTAATGTTCGATTGGCGCGCCTATCTCTTCCGCGAACTCGCGACAGCCCCGGCCCAGAATGCTTACGGACGCCCCAGTGTCTAATAAGCCGCGTGTCAATACCCCTTTTATTTCTATGTCTGCGTAAACGCGCGGATCCTGTTGATCCGCGTTTCTTATCGACGCTACGACTTTTTGCCGCAGTGTTTTCCGCTGTTGGAATCTTTCACGGGTCTTTTGTATTCTTCGCGACACTCCTCGGCGTCCCATTAGGGCACTAACCGCGAAAATTCGTCGGCGCGTTTCGAGATAGTTCCTTAGTCTATCTTCGTAAGATGGCCTACTCCCATTACTTGTTATTGCTATGTTTCCCTTATTTACTGTTTTACTAGAAATAATATTTTTCGTTTTGGTTTCAGATAAGTTTGCAGCACGGCTCAACTCATCGCCTGCTTGTGTATTCGTAGAGGCGTCTAATCGTGCGGGGTTTGAGTGGAGCGCGATTCCCCCGTCGTAATCGCGTTCCGTACTGAGTTTCCCGCAGGATTACACGTTGGACACTTAGGTGTTATCACATCCAACTTTCCGCACTTGAAACAAAAAATTCGACGTTGAAGCGACATGCATTCGGTGAAAAAGTGGCCTTCGGCACCACAGTTCCAGCATGACACCTTTTTGCGCCCGACTGGTGGCTTAGCTGAGCGTTGATGGCGTATTTCCTCCACGGTGACTTGACCCTCATCACCGGGAGTAAAACGCTCATCGTCTTCGAGTGAAGCGATTTCATTTACATGCTGTGCGCGTTGCCCAAAGTTACTAGAAATCACGCGTTCCCGACGCGGAAAACATCGTTCTACCTCTTGGCATTCTAGCCTGAGCTGTTCCAGAGAGTATGCCGAAATCGGGTAAACTATCTTGGCCAGGGATTCGCGCAAGTTGCCTTTCACTAACCTTATTATCTCGTATTCAGCGATGGGATTCCTAAGGCGCGCGCGCAGTGTACCAACCACATGAAAATATTCGTCGATGGTCTCCCCTGGCCTTTGCTTCCGCTCCGTTAATTCTCTCAGGATTTCAAAGTCGGTTCGTTGTGATGCGAATTGGCGTCTGAGCGCAAATTGTAAACTGGGCCAGTCGACCTTACCGTGGGAACGGATATACAGCCAGTACCACTCACGCGCCTCTCCGCCCAATAGCCGATGGAAATCGCGTAATATCTCGCCCCACGAACACACGTATTGCTCTTTTAAGTACTCTAAACGGAACAAAAAATCCTCGATAGACATAGAATCGCGATGACCCTGATAATTTATGCCCCATTTTTCGATATTGATTTCCGATTTACTAATTTCCTTGTTGTTTTCTCTTCCAGATGCCGGACGAGCGACTTCGGAGACAGCTGCTGGAATCCCTGCACCTGCTATTGGCGGTTGGCGAGGTGGTGGTGGCTCCGCGAAGGCGCATGCATACGCAGCCGAATGGGACATTGCACCGTAATTATTTCTGTTTGTATGGTTTTGATTAATATTGTTGTTTCTATGTAGTTCTCCTGAGCGTCCGGAATTAAACGAATCGATACTGGAGTTGTGTCTTGCTCTTTTGTTGTTCCGATTTCGCGATCTATTACCGAACCTTGACGATTCTATTTCTGCACCTGTCGTTCTGCTCAAACCGGGCAAGCTCTCGCGCATCTCTTTTAAGAGAGTGTTTTTTACCTCAGCCACCATTTCCTTTAAAACCGGCGCTAACTCGTTGCGAAAATCTCTCGCGTTGGTTAAACTGTTTGAGGACACCAGGTTGGCGTCGCTATTGTTAGTGGACGGAGGATGGGGAAAGGTCAAGGTGGGTGTTGGCACTCCCACTGAGTGGGTTATTTGCAACTCTTTATGTTGTTTTGGGGCCGCCCCTGTAATGCGATCTTGATTCCCTGGCAAATTATTGGAGTCTCCCTGCCTAATATCTCCACCACTTGCCCCAACATTACCGCCCCCAATTCGATCCGAGAGATCTATAAACGCTGGGTCGTTTGCGCATGGCGCTTTAGGGTTTGGCACATTCGCTGAATGCATGGCAGCGTTTCTAGTTTTAGAGCGCGTCTTGTATGGGATGGACACACCTTTCATCCGCGTGATATCTTTACCTATAGCCCTCAATTTACTCTTTTTGTTCTTTAAACCCGTCTGATTTACATGCGGGAGGTTCAGATGACTTCGGGGTTTCAAATTATTATTATTATTATTATTTTTTTTTTTTTTTTTTGAATTTATAGTCGTGATTGGAGCAGACCTTATCATTCCTGTGGGAGCGTATGCTCTTTCTGTAACTAAAAATGTCGGTGGATTATTTATTTATTTCTTTTGAAGATCTATCGCGTTATGCTACACAATTGTTTGGACATTTGCGGTCACAACGTCTCTTTGCATTCCAAGCACTTATTGCTTTAAGCGATTCGGACTTGAAGAAGAAAAAAAATTATATATAAGTATAGGCCAACTGAATCTACTGTCAAACTAAACCTTGTAACGTACACTTCTCTGACTTGCAAACAAAAAGGATTTGTTTAATGGCGATGCTTCTAGCCTGGACTACTTCTATCCGACTATGCCATCGGTGGGGTATGGTCGGTGTCTGACCACCTGCTCCCCCGTTCCTATGCAGATGCCATTGAATTTGTGTGGGCTCCACCTAAACAAGTCACTGTTTTGGTAGGAGGTCACATATAGCCAGACCCGTTTGGTTGGATGAACGGATTGTATGTCGTATACTAACTAATAATTTCCTTTTTTT